CCTGGACCAGAACCTGCGCTGTTTTCTGGGTCAGCTGGGGACATATCCTCCTGATGTTGTAAAGCGTGTATCTGCAGCAGCGGGTTGTAGCAGAGATGTTTGCAGTGAAGGACAGTTTGTTATCTAGGGTCACACCCAGATTCCTTGCAGTCTGAGTCGGGGAAACAACAGAGGTGCCGATGTTGATTGTTAGGTCAAGAGTGGGACAATCTTTTCCCGGAAGGGAAAAGCAGTTCAGTCTTGTCAAGGTTGAGCTTGAGGTGGTGAGCAGACATCCACTGAGAGATGTCAGCTAGACAAGCAGAGATGCGTGCGACGACCTGGGTCTCTGAGCTGGGAAAGGACAGAATGAATTGAGTGTCGTCAGCGTAGCAGTGGTGTGAAAAACCGGTCCGAGCTAATGACCGATCTGAGCGAGTTTGTGTACAGAGAGAAGAGGAGGGGACCAAGGACAGAGCCCTGAGGGACCCCTGTAGTTAATTGACAAGGGTCGGACTCGGACCCTCTCCAAGTTACCCTGTAGGTGCGGTCTTTGAGGTATGAGGTCAGATTTAGCCTGAAGGATTTTTATCTATGAAGACAGATGAGTGATGAGAATAATAATATGGGGGGCAGACCTACATTGTTACTCTGCTAATCTCTTGAAAGTGGCTCATGAAATGAAACCATACCTAATTTTACTCGAGACTCATAAAGCCGCCACTCAGAGAGGTTAACACAACAAAAGACTATCCATTGACCTTTTGCATAAAATCTGAGAATTCAGTATGCAAGCCCATTTCAGCAATTGTGTTGAAAAAAAGAGTGATGAGAAACAGTCTTGAAATTAAGACTAAGTACGTCTCAGATAATGGCTTTTCTCCATGTATAAATTAGTATTGCAAAAAAAATCTAAATTTGTTGTAAAAAATTATAGTTTCTCCTTGTTTTTTTACATAATTGTTGTGATATTAATTCATCTTTACAACAAAGTTGGTCAATATATTGATCCCTTTTTTTCATTACAAGGCAAAGTTAACCATAGTGTGTTGCTCCCTCTGGTGGTTCATCTTGTTCAAATGTCACAAGTATAGTGCTCTCTGCACAGTTTCATTTCATGGACATGTTGTAATGACCAACAAACAGAAAAGATGACGCATCACCTGCCATGTTTTGAAGAGCAATCAGACAACAGCCATTCCACATCTTTGTTAGCTGTAAAACCTAATGTAGACATGTGTTTGCCAAAACTTGTGCAATCAGTTGAATTGACCACATGTGGACTCCAATTAAGCTAAAAAACAAAGATGACCAAGTGAAAGGGACTGGGCTCCATTTCAAGTGTCAGATTTCAGTGATACAGAATCTTGGTCTGAATACTTCAATCAAATGGTGATATTTATGAAATATTATAGTACATATATATCACTATATATATATATATCATATATTATATATATATAACACTCTTATGTCCCTTACATTCATGGATTTCAGGATATTTAAAATGCTCTCTTGCCACCGTGTAATCAAAATACAACAATATCAAATTCACTCCCTTAAGAGGATATATTTGTATGTGAAACACATCAGATCACCCTAATACCCAATTCATTTTGTGTCTTAAAATCCATATGGAGGCTTTGATTTTCCAGCAGTAAACAGAAAAGGAACATTCTCAACATTCTTGCCAATGTGAATACTGTATATATTAAGTAGATAAGGTAAGTGGGTCACCTCTATCCCCTGCTTTATTATTGTTGTATGTCAGCTTTTCAGTGGTCCTAATCACGAGCGGTTCGATGCAAAATAGGAATGAAGTGTTCTTTTTTTAGTTCCACAGACTGCTTTGAAAATCAACAGTTGTTGTGGCCAGTGAGCCACACAACAACAGACACTGAATCAAATGTCTCATCATGTTAATAACATACCTGACTACCAAGCAAGCACTCTCTCTACCGCACGGTATACAACTCTTGGCTGATCAAATGCATAGATTTTTCAAATAGAAAAGTCTCAGTTGATCCACTAGAGGGAGCATTATGCCATGAAATACTTCCAAAGTGCTCCAAAACTCCAATGAATGCCCCATTTCACCCAGCCATCTGCACCGTGAAGAAGCTATTTTGATGCTCTTGAACTATTTAAACAGCTGAAATGAGAATGATTAATTGAGAGCTTGATCTCGGGATGTGGTTAAACTTTCCGCCCAGACCTGTAGCTTTCAAAATGGCAAGCTTGATTGAGTATGGAGCATCTTTAACTGTCTATTCAACAGCATGTTTGTCAGAAAAAAGAAAAGAAAACCCACAACATGGCGTTGACAGCTCCATCAATCATGCTCACATTTAGAGCGCCAGAATAAACACTGCACATCAATCTGTTGTTGACAGGGTCCTCATTAGTACATGGATGTTCTGTGTTTCTTCTGTGAGATGTGTTTTGTACACTGTTGTGAGAGACAGTGGGAGGCCAACAGGGAGGTAGTAACGGCAAAATCAATTTCACACATGGCGGCGTTTAGGAGAGGTGAGTGGCGGCGGGCATCTTGATCTGTCCATCAGCCCGAGTGTTTGTCGCCGCCGAGGCTGCTTCATAACTCCTGTTAGACTAACCATTCGACGAGGGCCAACGACCAGGACTACATGGATGATGTGGCCATTAGAGCGAGAAAGCAGGCAACCCGCAGCAATCCTCAAACGCACTGCGGCCATATGACATCTCTGTCTGCAGTGGGGCTGAGCTCATCCACCGGCTGTTTAACCTTCAACAACCACTCTCACATGAATAATAAATTAGGCCAGGAGGAAATACATGCTATTAGTTGAGTGAGAATTGGGATTCCTTGAGTTATCTTGTTAATCATTTTAGATTGATGAGGGAATACAGATTAAATCTGATTAATTATTTACCAAAACTGTACTTTTGTGATAATTAGAGGCCTTGTTGCACCTATACCCAGCAGTCAAGCAATGAAAATGTCACTTTGTCCAGAGAAAGGACTCAATGACCGAACATCCCCTGCTTCACCTCTACCAGTCAGGACAGAAGAGACATCAGAGAGGACAATTTTCTGACGTCATGTTGGTGATATTTAGATGATAACGTCCTTCAGATATTCAGAGATTCAATTATCAGCAGTCTCTTTTCTCATTACCCCTGAGGGTCGATACTGCACAATGTCCTGATCACACAGGGGGCTATTTTAAGTGACTTTTTCAGTTGGTTTGAGGTATTCTGGGCTATTTCTAAAAAGGAGGACAAATAGAAATATGACATATTTGCATCCACAGGGTCATCATGATTTAAAAAAAAGGGTTTGATATGCTTTTTGCTTAGCATCAGATGAGAAAATGGATACCACTCTCATATATCTATGCTAAATATGAGGTTACAGCCAGCAAAGGGGTTATTTCTATGTTCCAATTGTTATAGATTTTTAAGGGCTATGTTCACAGATCAATTGCAGAAGAATTGAGGGTGATGGATGTTCAAAATGCAGTTTGAATGGTCACACATCCATCCAGCCACTGTGTCGAAAATAATGTCTAGATTCAAACTCGCCCCGCAAATTTGAGCGCGTAGGTTTAAGGAGTATGACATGAGGTCTGCTTAATGTGTCATATTAAGAGGATATTGAGCTGGGTAACATAAAACCCTCTGAAACCTAGATAAGCTCCCCCCAGCAGGTGAAAACAGCTAGACTGCTAACTTCCTGGAGTTTAATAAATAAAGTTAAGTGAGTTTTAAAGCTGCTGTTAGGTGGTTTTGGTTGCCTTTGGACAGTCAGGTTATCAATTTCCCTTGTTTCCAGCTAAGTTAAGCTAACGACTACTGGCTGAAGCAGTGGCACCACCCTCACCTTTTCAAATGAGGGTGGGCCATTGCATGTCTCAGCATCGACAAAAGCTGGACCACAAAGATTTAGCAAGTGACTCAGTAATGATTTTCATGACTCAAATCATACTTTTTTTTAACCTAACCATTTTGGGATTGTGCTTAACTACAAGCGTGACATAAGGCTGATATCTACCACTTTTTTTTTTAAATGGATCAAACATTATTTTTGGTTCTGAAACATTCAGACTATGCGCGGTTTGGAAGAAACAAAAGAAGGGACATTTCTTTCCTTTTATGGCGGTTGGGTTGAGGAAACATTACGCAGACATATAGGTTTGGTTCTCCAAAAGTCAGACGATAAACATATAAGAATAAACACAGGGGACACACACATTTAGTGTTAACTGCTTTTTAAAATGTTCTCTACCCTGAATAAATATGAGGTGAATAATGGATGAAAATATTTGCCACAGTTAAGGGCTTTAGGCTGTTCAAGAATTAACATTGATGAGGCACTGGCCTCCCTTGACATACAGCCCTAACTGTGTCCTTACAGGTAGTCTACAGATATGATAGCGGTGTAAATGATCTCAAGCAGTCTCGAAGAATCTCAAGAACGCAACAAATCCGGAAATTGATGTCTTAAACACAATCTAAACTGAAAGAGCTAGAGGCAGTTGTGCACTCAGACTTTTATTAGGGTTTTTGTAATGTAATTTAGCTACAGTATATCCCATTAACCGATAATTGCGGTGGCGTCGGTCTGCAATGCAGCTTTATAATAACAACACTACATGAGCTCAGCTCCGGTCACACATTAAAGAACGTTCCCAAGATTAACCGCATGAAATGCAGTGAAATTGTGTTATATGTGTTTAACACCTACTTAAGTTGATTCAGTTTGACACAATTGAAGAAGGTGGTGACAGAAGTCAGCTCCTGAGCAGTTGTTTAACAGTCACATTCCTTTATTGTACATGCCAAAATGTCCCTGAACAAACACCCAACTCTTTTATAGCATCAGTGATCTGCAGACAAATAGCTTTGCTCTTCTCCCTTGGCTTGCTCATGCTAGGACTGTATTTTTAATCTTTGTCTACTATTTGTCAACCGATTGTGGCAGTAAAGAAGCTTAAATCCTACTGTTACATAAAATAATAACTTGCCTTTACTACTTTCTACTCAGACTGATCCTCAAATTTCATCTTTTCGCTATTTCAATATTTCCAGATTAGTTAATCCATCTCGTATAAGATGCTTTGCGAGTAGGTAATGTACAAGAGAGGCTTTCAAAGCTCCCATCAGCCCAGTTTGATTCTGTTCAAAACTATCTTTTGTTTTTCATCCAGACGGTCTTAAACCTGTATTCGCTCTTAATTAAAAATCCAAGAAAAACCACTGCCAGATTCCCCTTACTCTGTCAAATCATTCAACCTTGCATCATCTAGCCTCCTGGCACCATTGCAAAAAGTCTTAATATTCAACTGGAAGTACACTGTAATCATTCAATATAAATCTGTTTATCCTACTAAATTCATATATTCATATAGCGCCGACGCAGTTCATTTCAGTCAGCGTCACAGCGTCCTATCATCTGGCCAGATGCACAGTACAAAAATAGGAAAATGAAAAAATTGGATTCTTTATCCGGACTGCAGGCCAGAAAAGATCACGAGGCAGTCAGAGCCGACCCGGACCTTTTCAGTCAGACGTACATGACATAAAGAAGAAGGTCGCATATTCCATTTAGCAGGTGTTGTTTCTTATTTTGACTCAAATATTTCTAATTTGGTTGATTGGTTCCCATGCTTGCTGTTTGAGGACCTTAGGAAGAAAAGAAAAAAGTGTTCTCCAGGAAATGGAAGTGCTCGCCAAGCACAATTTGTTTATCTGTTTGGAAGGAACAATAGTTTCCTCGTATTGTTTGCAACTCCCATAATCCGTATTTGCTTCCCATCTGTTGAAAGAAAAGTCTTCACTGTGGTTGCCAGAACAAAGTCTAGCCACCTTTCGCCACCGCTGTGTCCTTTGATAAGTAAACCACCCAGTAAACCATGTTAAAAGCCCCGAAGGACACTGGGAACAAGATCCGTGCATACTTGTCAATTTTGCTGGTTCCTCCCATACCAGCAGTGGTGGGCTGGGAGCACGGCGTCTGCTTTATCTCCGGTTTGTTCCCCATCATCTGGAAGTGCTCCAGTTTGGGCCCCAGCAGCTGCTGCAGAGACGATGAGTTGGCTTTCTGTTTGCACGGCGTTCCCGCCATCACGTCTGGTGTTGAGGCTGCAGCCTGTGGCGTGCTCTTTACCAGCTGGGCGGAGGAGGAGGCCACACTGAGCAGGCTCTCAGATTTGGGACTGGTGCGAGAGAACGCGGAGGAGCTGCCGTTAGCCCCGCTGGCTAAATGTCGTAGCGGCCTAGCTCTCCCCACTCCAGAAACGTTGATGGTGGACTGGGCTCTCTGGTGACTGCTGGCCTCTTGGTAGGACATATAGTTCATCCGCTTTCTTAGGTTACCGTTGCTATCAGGATTCTGATTGTTTTAAAAGAAAGAAAAAACAATAATTATATAAGCTGCAAATGTTAACCTGTGCGGCTAACTAGCTTACTACATGCTTACCCAGCGTACCTCCCAAGGCCAAGGGCAAGCATGTAAGCTGACTAAACCTTCTGGGTTTACAGTTTAAATCTAAAGTGTAAGCTAATGTTCTGTTACAGCTGTCTTTTGCTGTTTGTTTGGCATCAATTACCCATTGTTTCAAAGATTTTTATGAATTTTTAGTAGTAAACACGCCACCGTTACTGTTAACTATATGCTGTCCTGAAAAAAAAGGCAGACATAACAGTAGCCAAAGGCCTAGGAGGACAGTCAGTTGAATTACAGAAATGCTATGAGTAAGTGTGAGGTCATTTACTGTGTCCTTCATGGTATGTCCACCAAAGAGCGTTGGTATTTATACTTTTCAGCTGTCAATTGTCCCACTCAGTTTATATCTAGTTCAAAACTCTTTGAACTCTTCACATTTTTTCTTCATAAATTGTGTCAATGAAGGAGGTTGTATTTCCAATTTGATTTGTTTGTTGGATTGTTTTTTGGTGAGCAGAGTTAAAGAAGAACTACAGGCCTGATGTTTATTAAACTTAGCGGAAGGGTTTAGTATTGGCCAAGGAAGTGATCATTACATTTTGAAAAGGATCACAGGGAATATACAAACATTATTTTTAACGTATAAAACGGATGGAAATATCAGCTCAATCAGATTTGGAAAATGTACGCTGTTGTTATCAGTCTCTAAAATCCAGTATTAGAAAATTAGTAATTTTCTTGCTTTATAATCCATGTGTTTCATAATGAGCCCTAACCTGACTGCTTCTATATCTTCAAAGATATTTTGACGTGATCAAATTGAGTCATGAAATAAGAAGTTGTTATTTTTAATCGTGGATGTACATTTGAGAGAAAAAACTGAGGATTTGGAGTGTGAATAATCACATTCCGCCTGCCCCGTTTGAAGGCGCTCTGTGGGCAAGGTAAAGCTCACTAGCTTTTTTTTCCCTCTCTGTAAAAGCGCGCCAACGTTAACTTCGTCATATTGATCTGATTTCAGTCTTCCTGAAACATATGGCCTTCATCTGGAAGCAGACGATAGAGTTTGTGCATTACAGATGTCACTTACCGAGGATTTCACTCATTTCACACAAGCGTAAGACAGAAAGTAGGTGGCACTTCCTCGGGGCGGTAATGCAGTGTAGCGTCAAAGGAGCTTATCCTTTGAGAGTTGATGTTTTCTAGCAGGGAGAGTGATGCTGATTCTAAGGCATTTGGAGGAGTAATCCACCCCCCCTGAAACTGCAAGCATCCAGTGTATTTGTGCCCCGTGTATGTGTATGTGTGTGTGTGTGTGGGTTTGATTTCTATGACTGTACGTCAAAGATCTGGAACCATGGACACACTCTGCCCCTAACGTCAAGCCCTTTAGTGAGCGCCGACAGGACCTGCTCTTGAGGAAAAGAGTATTAATTTTTTCCCCCAGTGCCAGAGCCGTTCTGAAACCTATACAGATGTACCCGGGCTGCGTTGCCTTGGCAACCTACTAATCCACTGAAGTGCCGTTGTCACTGTACTGCATTCAGGCATGATTACGCCACACTGGGATTTGGACTGGAGGGCGCAACTTAAAGTAGTTAATGTAAAACTGATATGTGCATTGATGCGTTGTGTCAGCTTCGATGATCAGTTAACAGTTTATATTGAATCTTAGTTTTTTTAAAGCCTAATAAATGTGCACTTCATCCTCCTTTTTACCTCTCATCTGTAAATGGTGTTTGTACAGCACCAAAAATACATTGCTGCATTTGCATGAACATTGATTTGTAACACATTCATTATATCCAACTAGGGGCTCTAAAATAGCTTCATGGCATATTCATGAATTCTGTTTCCATCCATATGTCAGCTGCCATGGTGTCAATGTAATTTGTATCAACTGGTGTTACAGAAATAGGATATTATGTCAATGGATTCATGTCGATTTCTTTTTTTAAATAAAAGCCCCACAGCAAACACTATCTTTGAGAAAACGTCGACCAGGGAAGCTGTTTTTTTTTTTTGCACAAAATGTTACCCTGGATAAAATCTAAAGGTGACAGGGTGATATGAGATACAATAATCTTTAAGTGTTTCATTTAATCTCCACCTAATTTACCACTTTTAAAAATAAGTTTCAACAAGTCAAAGCTGTGGTTGAGAAAGCCATTATCTGTTTCATCAGGTGAGAGGAATTCATGTTTTTACCAGGAACAGTGAGTCCCAGAGAAAGTGTTATCATTTAACACATCAAAAAAGTGTGGGTAAAAAAAGTTGAAATGTCTTAATTGCTCATGTCAACAGTAATAGTACATGTGTTGGATTTGAGTGTAGTTTGTTCAAATTTGCGGAGCCACTAATCTTTTATAAGAACTCAATTCAACTCAAAAAACAAGCGGATTCTAATAATATATGGAAGTTGAACTTCTGCAGTTTTCTCTATTTTTCTTCCTGAGCAGGAGCACAGCTGACGATCCTCAGGCCGGCCCACTCCTTGCCGTTCAAAATTCTAGGCTAAAGGCCAGATACAGTAAGCACATAATAAGGGACATGCTGTGTAAGTGATCCTTGAAGTTAAGTGCTTGCAGACCATTCGCCACGGCTACTTTGAGGGAAACAAAAATCACCTGCAGCACTTCCTCTGTGTCCTTGACCTTCACAGGCGTGGTTTGGGGGCCTGGAGGACATTTGGCCGGCTTCTTTTTGGCCCGCTCGAGCTGGGCGTTGGTGAAGTAGTTGACGGCGGCAAACTCAATGAGCGCGGAGAAGACAAAGGCGAAGCAGACTGCGATAAACCAGTCCATGGCGGTGGCGTATGAGACCTTGGGAAGGGAGTGGCGAGCGCTGATGCTGAGTGTTGTCATGGTCAGGACAGTGGTGATGCCTTTAATGGTAGGAAAAACAGAACAGTATCAAACATGCATATAAGCTGACACAAGATGTTAAGTGATTTAAAATTATTTACAAGAGGACGAAATATCTGCCCTATGAAACTGCTGTTTGCATCTTAGATATGTATGCATCACACACAGCCCACAATTAGATTAGTTCATGTCAATGCTAAAGAAATGGTGATAAAAACCATTTGCACGGTGTTCAATAACCCATGCACATGATGTTGGTCTTCATCAGCATATTTCATTAACTGAATGTGGGGGATAATGAACCAAATATTTTCGGTTCTCTGAGATGGAAGACATGAACAAAACAAAAATGTGTATACCTTTATATAAAACCTGGATCAATGTTTTTGTTTTGTTTACTACAGAGCAGAGCAACAAGCTGTAAACACAACATTTACATAGTTTAACCTTATGAAGTTGATATGGCTTCATGACATTCTTGTTTCTACCTTCTCTCTTTTTTCTCCACCTCTAAATAAGCTTTGTAAAACGACAGGTCTAAGATACGGAAGCCTTGAAGGACAAAAAGTGTTTTTGTTGTGAAACTTATTTTGGCCACAAGAGTCTCAAGTCTCTTAACACATGTTGGCAAGTACTGTCATGTCTTTCTTTTGGCTAGAAAGAAAGTACTATTATTGCGTATTTTAAATCTGCCCACAAAAATGGAGCACCAGATTTGTTTTTACTTGCCTCTCAGGGCTTTTGTACAAAGTATTATAATCTCAGTCCTCTGTTGTTTAACTCAGCCAACAGGATTATTTCAGCCTGTAGACAAGCTGTACCTCCACATAATGTTTGGGCAACGTCAGGTCTGATGTATGTCTAAAGATAGGACAGTAGCAAGAGCTTACAGCTGCATAAAGTATATCTGCTACTCAACAGAAGCAACCTCGGACTCTGAAAATAAAAGGAGACACTGGTCTGGCCAGCACGCACAGTCCCATGCGGCCCCTACAATAACACAAGGTTACAGTATGCGCCTGTAGCTCGCCACTTGTCCTTGGTGTTATTAACCACATTTGTAGAAAATCCCCTTAATGTCTTGGACCTAGAACAATCTGTGCCGCAGAGTCGTTGCCCAACATAAATTCATCCCCTGTGCCCGGACATGACCGCCATATAATTACCTGTCAATCATAGGTGAACTGCCGCTTGAGGCCACAGACTGAGGATATTAACCATCTAATATGAAGCTGTCAACATAAGAAAAAACTGAGATGCTTGATAGATATACTGGAACTCTGCATCTGTTGCAGCTTGCATTTCATTTTCCCAACAACCAGACTAAATATAGTCATCTCTTGTCATAAAAAACAATGCCTTACGTTGAATGAGCTCCTTACAAATGTGCTTTTAACTCTGACCCCTCTAGCTCTAATCCTCCATCCACTCCCTGACAAAGTGCTTCCTCAGGCTCATAGCAGGACACTGTGGTTGAGTCACTGAGGCGGGACGTCAAAACAGAAATCCAAACCCCAACCAACCACCCTCCTCTTCCCTCCCCGGTCCTAACTTCACCCAAACCCAAACACGCACATTTAAACTCAGGGGATAACAGCAGAAACCCGCTACCTCAGAAAATCTAAAGATACAACAATAGGCGTGCTGCCGTGAAGCCTCTGTGTGTCGCGCAGGGCAGTTTGGGGCGGGGGGCCAGGGGATGTGCAGCTGGACTGTCAGATACATTGGTCACTGCAGGAGAGCAGGATTTATCCCACAGTGCTTTAATACACAACAGGACACTGAGATACACTTTTACTGAGGGTCACAGTCATTGAGAGCACATACTGCACAATCAACAGAAACACATGGCGTGTCAAATGCACGCTGAGTGGATACAGGTGTGTGTGTGTGTGTGTGTGTGTGTGTGTGTGTGTGTGTGTGTGTGTGTGTGTGTGTGTGTGTGTGTGTGTGACCAGCAGCAGAACCATTAGAGACTGTGGTTTTTTTCGTCACCATTAGTGAGTCAGTTTGCTGTCACAGACTAAATGCCGCTGCCAGCCGACAACAGGCCTGTTATTATGATTCTGATACATTTCCTCAAGTGATGTCATTTGAGTCAGCATTAGTCGATGAGCTTATCAGACGTCTGTGGCTCGTACCGCAACTATATTAATGGCTCGAGGCTAATGTTAATCTGTTTTATTTATTCCGGACTACTCATGTGTCAAATGTCTTTTTTTAGTTTTTAGCATATTTTGTACTAACATCGGGAAAGTTAAAGTTAAGCTAAATAGTTTTAGCTTAACTATAGTCTTGGTCACAAAATAAAAGGTTTTTTAGAAAAAATATTTAGTCACAGTTTCTGTTGAAGAAATAAACACTGCTACTAGCATATTGCACCCAAATCTCCAACTGAACTGGCGACAGTTGAGTTGCATTGCGGGTAACTAGGCATGGAACAAGAAACCATTATTTAGCTATTTGTTATATTGTGAAATATCCTATTAGTTTTTTTTTATCCTTTATATAATGATGCTAATATACATGGTATTAAGCCATTGCAGAATGCTTGATAAATGAATGCTTTATTTATTATAAGTTAATAATCAGGGTTAATTGAGTTATCCCTTTTAATGTTTTCCCTGAATCATAATTCCATTAATTAATTAAAGTTTCACAGTAATAAATATAATTGTAATCATTAAATCCCTTTAAAAGGCGGGCCTTATTTTTAAAGTGTTGCATTTTCACTTAAAATGACTTTCTTTACCACGATAAATTAATAATAATAGATTGTACTTTCACTAACAGAACACTTTCATTTCTTAACATGTCAAAAAGTCGAATCATTCATTCCCTCTGATGTTTTCCTTCTCTTTCAATACTCAAGTGAAAATGACCTCTTGAAATTGATGCTCCCCAACATAATCCATCAGTACTGTTTTTGAAACAGAGGACGAGTGTCAGCGCCATTATCATTGAATGACTTTTCATCAACATAAGTGGAGGAACGTGGTCGACAAACGACCAGACAGAGACGCCCCTTAATAATAAAACAACAAGTTATAGCAGCTCTGTCTGTCGTCCTGTGTCTCTATCGACACACACTCATCAGTCTGTTCTGACAGTCAGAGACCCTAATGTTGTACCAGGGGAGCCATTACACGCAACTGGGTCACAGGCCATAAACTGAGAGTAATTGATGATGTAGAAATGGCGGATTATGCAAGAAGCTGTGGTAAAATGATAAAATGCCAGATTGTAATAATATCACACTAATATTTGTAGAAACCTTGAATCAAAATCACCAATGACTATTTGTAATACTCTCTCAGGGTAACTTTCCCATTTAGAGGGGTATTCAAATGACACCTTGAGTAGTTTTTGTGCCTTCCACAATGAGCCAAAACCATTGCAGACCCAAATCCCTCGTCTTTGCTCGAGGCTTCTTTGCTTAGAAGATGGCCACAAAATGATTTTTCCTATTGCTGTCTGCTGTTTATTCTAGTTCCAAACCGGGCTTAAAACTAATAGCAGTGAATTTGCAAAGAAGAAGAATACAAAACAGCAGCTCTCTACTGTATACATTCCACATAATCACCTCACACTGGAACATCACCTTGTTGTGCAGAGTGGGTACACACAAATGCAGACACAAAGTAAATAAACCGAGAGGATGTGTAAAGTCTACATACCGAAGACTGTGCGTGCCGGGACCGATTCTTTATTTATCCAGAAGGACACTTGGGAGAGGATTACTGTCATTATGCAGGGGATATACGTCTGAATCATGAAGTAGCCCATTTTACGTTTCAAGTGGAAGTAGACCGTCATCACCACATATTCACCTGGAGGACGAACAGAAAGGAATTTGTTTTATTCACAAATAATTTTGAGTCGCAGGCCGACAGATTTCATTAACGCAGCTTTAGACAGATGCCGCATTTTATTTTAAATAATTTTTTTGTGCTCCTCTACATATTAAAAACATGCCACCTAACATGGTCAAATCTTTTTGTTGGATACTTAGGATTTATGTGAACCGAAAGGCACTCTGCAGTGCCTCAACTAAGATGTTGTCGGGGTTTGATTTAAAGAGGCTGCTGTCTGCTCATCACGGTCCAATGGAGGGACAAAGCCGCAAAAATCCTTCCACTATCCACCCTCTGTGTTACATTTGTACAGTATTTGTCCCATCACTCATGCGGAAAATACAATGTATATCTGGAAAATCTACCAGGTTTGACAATACACACTGACAGCCGAATATCTTCTCTTACAGATTATTTCTCGCTACATTTCAGTTGACCAGTCAAAATGGTTAGAGCATGAGGAAATCTCACCTGTAATGGATTTAATGGTTTCACTGGAGACCGTCTGGCCGGTGAGATCATACTGGACGAGGCTGGAGGACTCAGGAGGGACCTCCACTGAATGCTCGGGCCCCTTGGTCCATCTATAGACCATCTCTGTTTTAGGATAGGCATCTGTGGACAGAAGACCCCAAGGTGTGAGTCACTTACTGTATATTATGAACAGTGGAGTATAGGGTAAAAGCATGTGTGTACAGTATGTAACAGGCTTTTATGGTGTAAACTGTCTTTGTCAACATGACTATGATATGATTTTAAATTAGCTGTGTGTATACATTCTCGATATACATTTGTTTGCCTTCTTGAAACCAACCGACCAACATGGATAAAATCTTCTGTGAACCTTTTTTGTGATCAAGGTTGTAATAGTTTGGAACTTTTATTTAGATGGTTTGTTAGTTATTGGTCTAACCTGGTCCCATGTGAAAAACATTAGTGATTCATTGTGAAGCAATTGTGGCATCTCCTGGAATTTTAGGTCTGTGGATTTTGTCAATTTCTGTGGTTCAATGTCACAAGAGTTAAGAGAAACTCATTCGATACAGCTGACTTTTTTATGAACTAATGAAAGGTGACAGCAAACAGAAAAACATTAACGTTCATTTGGCATTGGTTTTCAACATAGACTGTGCAATAAAAAAGGACGTAAACGCAGGGTCTGAAAAGTAAAGCCAATGCCGAAGTACCTTAAGATCACATTCTTTCATCCATTTTGTTATAGTGAATGCTATATGGCTCTTTAGTTGAAACATGCTAGATTATTCTCATTAACTAGTTGCTCACTTTTTTGGGTTTATCAGAACTTTTTACTGAAAACTGCTACTGTACTGCTGGAATAGAGTAGGATGAGAACCGTGAGAGTGAATGAAACATTGTTGTTGGCATTAAACCAAAACAAGTAGCTCTAAAAGACATTAAAGCACTCTGTAAAGCTCCGAACAACTGCAGAATCTGGTGATATTGTTAAATAATACATCAAATTGACTATTCTTAAATGTGAAAGTTTTATAATCAAAAGGATTACAATGCTTTTCTTTACTTATAATTGTAATCATGGCAAAAGGAAGCGTCTCACGGGAAAATATCCAATGGCTAATTAATTTGAAGGGTTCCGAGCACTTTGAGGCCGATTGACCCTTTCCTTCGGTTCAAAAACAGCAAAACTAATACATTTATTTAATATAATGTAACATAAAGATTGCATTGCAGTTTTTCTCAAGTTGATATGATATGTACTATATGATTTCTTCTGTTATTTACGTAACATCCAATGAACTCTTTCAGCTCCAATGAAACCAGTGCAATGTGGTCGCAGTCAAAGTTCATGGAGATCTCATCTGTCATATTTGACTTACTAATCCATCACCCTGAAATCTCTTTCCCATCAAAAGTTGCAACGCTCAGATAAATCCCCCTGTGTCTTAGGGATAGTCAAATTCATAACAAGTCTTTTTACTATGCAGTGTTTTGATGTTGACCTGGCAAGGTTGGCAAGCCTGTGGATGCAGAACAAAAATGCCAGTTGCCTTCGCCTGCCACTCCCTATGGGACTCCACATCGGCAGGATACCAACTGTGCTGCCAAAATGAAATGACTCTGTTGTGTCATGGAGTGGAATGCAATGCCTGCACACAAGTCCAGATGGAGTTACAGAAAATGAGACGGAAAGAGAAAAGAGTTATGGAGGAAAAAGGAAGGCATGGCAGACAGATAGAAAATTAGCAGGCGCACGCACACACCAGCTATGGAAAATAGCTGCATAGGTCTGTGTTATCCTGAGGCAGAGGAAGGGATTCTGACCTTTCCTTCGCTTCAGGCCGCCATGGTCGCTTCCTTCTGACTGGAGGCTAAGAGGATGGTGAAAGGAGGAGGACGGAGAGGGGGAGACGGATGAGAATACCTGAGAAATGGGAATTTGTCCTCTCCAATGTCACCACATTGGGTAATTGACAGGCGGAATGGGAGAATGCAAAGACAAACTCGTTGTCTTTTCCTCTCCTTTCTCCTGCAGATGTAATCTTCAAATTGCCGGTTTTCTCTGATAAGATGGAGCTGAGAAACTCCTTTATTTGAGATAACTCATTTCTGCTGACCAGTAGACCCACTATAAACACCGGTGCTGAGCGAGAGCTTCATTGTTCACGATGAAGAATTAAATTCTTTTTTATTTAGTACTATTATTCAGTTGCTTTGTGTCTCACAAAGTGCTCAGCTCCTCTGCACTTTTTTCAGAAAATAATATATTTCAGTGTCAAGCAGAGAACAGTCACGTGATCAGGTTTTTTTTCAAACTTTGGATAAGTGACAGATTTCCATACCAACATAAACGTTAACATTTTACTCAAGAAGGCATTCATGTAGCATTTGCAAATAAAAACATATTTACTAAAAATCTTTCTAAAACATTGGCTTAAAACTGTTAAAATCAGATGTGACTATAAAGAGGTGATAGCTTTCTTTGGTTTAAAAGGAAAAGTTTGACATTTGCTTCCTTGAAGATCGATAACACTCATGAAACTGTTTTAAAGCCGCCGCAAGCAGCCAGTTAGCTTAGTCAAGCACAAAGACTGGACACAGGTGAAAACGGCTACACTCTTTTAAACTTTACACAAATAAAACAAAATGATTTTCATCAACATGTTAATAAGCTGCACTGGTTGGTGTATCCTTTTGACAGTGCTAGGATAGGCGTGTATCCCATTATTTATGCTATGATAAGCTATGCTAGGCTAAAGGGCAGCTGGCTGTAGTAGCTTCACATTTGCCTTGTGTGGTATCATTCTTTTTGTATTACTGTCAGCAAGATTGTTTACAAATCCAACTATTACTTTGAGAATCATGGTTGTCTTTGTTATCGTTGCTCACTATCACATAAGTCCCTCCATTTTTAATGAGATGAATTAAAAAGCTTTTAAAGAGTAAAAATCTTAAATTGAAATAGTTAAAACTCTGCTGGGAAAACCTGCTGTTTATTATTTGCAAATTGCAGCCTGTTTAGGGATGACAAGTAATCCAGTGGGTCTTCTGTGAAACAACACTGGGGGGCACAAAATGCAAAATGTTGTAGTTAGGCTGGTGGAAGCTTCTAAGCAATGAGTTTATTGTTTACACTACAATAATGACTCAAAAGGGGTAAATGGTGGCAATGGTTAATAATACAAAATATTACATGTAGGGCCATCATTTTACCGCACTGCGGGTTGCACTTACTATATTGCTTACCTATATTTGATGAATGCAAATACATTTACGGTTATTGGATTAGTTAGCGTCTTTCCAACGATTAGCAGAATTTGTTTAATGTTAAACCTCAATGCTACTTCTTTGCAGAATTTTTTCTAAAAAAGGTTCAAATTTGAATAGTTGGGAGTAAAGGCACGGTTTTCTCTATCTATATTCGTTTTTTCGTATCAATCACACACACAAACCCATATTTATGCAAGACTTACAACTTCCAAATTTGAGGGGGCATGCATGTCCATCCATGGGGAAATTCACAAGCTTCATGGGACACTCGGCAATAATGGTCAACCTGTTGTAATACAGAGAAAGAACATCTCCATAAAGTAAGTGTCCAAATAGACACACAAATGCTTTAAGAAAGTGTGTAATATTCAGGGATAGCAACACCAGAGTTTTTACATTATGTAAATTACCATAGATTTAGCTGATCAGCATATAAAGGTGACTTTAACATGTGTGCTAAATGTTAGCATGTACTGTTTTTAATATGTTAAATAGAAGAATACTAAGTCACATAAGGTAGAGCTTATGGTTGATTCTTCTGATATAAATACGTATCAGTAATATGCTAGAGGGTCAACAAAAGGTCTTCATATACTTAAACTCAGCCATCTCCAGTAAAAACGTAAATGAGACTTTATGAGATTGTTATATTGAATTTAAAAGTTTGGTCCCTTCCGCTCTGCCTCCAAACAACTCTGCTCTGTTTGCACATCATGAGCCACTGGCTTTGATTTCACAGCAAATCTGCTCAAAAGCTTAAAATCAGCACAAAAAACAAAATATATAAAAAGAAAGTGAAGAGCTGATAACCCCTCAAAAATCATTGTGATACAATGGAGAATAGCTGTCGAGTTCAGGCTAAACATTTGACTTTGAATATTATTAATTAATTGTTTAGCATCAATAGATTGTACACGGTTGTGGAGTATACTGCAGTACCTCATGGTGTATAGGATGGTGCCATTTTTCATGATGCGGAAAAGTTTGTTGGGGGCCGTCATGTTGTGAGCGACAGACCTCTTCCCATTCCTAAAGAAAGTGTCCGGTGTCCACACTTTAGTCACCATAAGGTTATTCAGCCTCAATATCTCTATCGGGCCCTCGTACTTCAACCTCCGGTCCACCCACGTCTGCCGAAAGAAAACGTCCATGGTGTATTCCTGAGGCGGGAAAAGTTGCAAATGTCAAAGACAAACATGTGAAGTCAGGTAGGTTTGCAGGTGGGATGATATGAGTTCATGATTATCAGCATCGATCTGGAACAAAGTCTGGTAAGTAAAATATCATGTTTGCCTCCCACATATTATAGACTCTAGAGCAGGCCCAGCTAGCGGGGAACGTTCTCACAACTTTGGCTAACGTTACCGATTGGTTCTAACAAGGTTTTAAAGAAACGTTTTAATCTGATGTTCAAAGAACCTTTTTAGGATGTTTATTTGTTCAAATAATTTTCCTATATGGTTTAAGGTTAACTAAGACATAACGTTTTAACTGCAACATTCAGAGGATGTTTTCAGGATGTTATTAAGGCCTGAGATGACAGAAAGTTTTTTTATAAAACGTTCCTTTAATGTGATATGTTAACAAAGGTGGAACGTTTTGCCTGCAACATTCTAAGGATGTGTTTTGGACGTTGTTGGGTATCACATTAAAGATGTTCTTTATAAAACGTTCCCTCAATGTTACATGATAACAAATGAAGAACATTTTCAAAGCAACATTCTGAAAATGTTTTCAGGATGTTATTGAGGCCTGAGATGAGAGAAAGGGTTGAATAAAATGTTCCCTCAATGTTACATGATAACAAATGAAGAACATTCTCCAAGAAACATTCTGAAAATGTTTTCAGGATGTTATTGAGGCCTGAGATGACAGAAAGTGTTTTATAAAATGTTCCTTTAATGTGATATGTTAACAAAGGTGGAACGTTTTGCCTGCAA